TATTGCCCATGAGAAGCCAACCTAGTTTTGGGTGCAAAGAAAGTCTGGAAAGAAATATGGCATCTCTAAAGTACCAAAAAATGATGCTACAGATCTTTTACCATACAACTCCTTGTTAAATGCTATGCCAAGCCTACCAAGCACAGAGCAGTGAAAAACATTTAACGTATTATTTGGCTTTCCAGGAGGAAATAAGGAAACGAATCAGCTGCATGCATTTCTGTTCAGTTTCTGAAGTGCCCTAAAGCCATCGTGTGGACCATCTTCTAGCTGATCTAGCTAGATCAGCTGCTCTGTCAGGGAATATACTGAAGAATTAATTATTCCTCCATCTCTGCTCTTGATTCTTTTCATTCTTGCAAAATAAAAGATCTAACAGAAAAAAAAAAAAAGCATCTATCCCCCTCTAACTAGGAGTCTTTGGAGTAACATAATTTGAACAATGTTTTGAATACAGCACGCTGACCTAACATTACTGTTTTTTAATTTACTGCCAAGGAAATCAGGCAAGGAAGTGCGAGTACATACGGAAACAGACTATTTGCAGAACTAGATGCTATAAATATCTGATTAAATATTATCACAGGAAGTAAACGCACTAAAATGAAATTTTGTTCCATGATTTCCAAAATAAGCTTTCCTGCACTTTTGTAAATCCAACTTTCAAGTACAGAAAAGACAGAGCTGTATAAAATTATCTTTACGTATCTTCAATAAAAATATCTTTACAGCTACTAGGAAGCTGAAATCCTCTAAACCACTGAACTTAAATAATTTAGTGTAAGAGTATACTAACCTCACAGTCAGGAAAAGAAGCTAGAAAGTAAAATAAAAAATTGTTACTATCCACTCCTCTGATCTAAGACAGCGAGTGATTTTTACTGAAGAAATAATAAGGTTTATTCAACATGGCACTGGAATGTACCTACTAAGAGGTTATCATATACTATCATATACTTAGTCTTTAATCACTTGAGAAATCACCTTGACCTTTCAAAAGGGCAGAGCAGATTCCAGTGAAAAATAACTATCTCCTGTAGACAAGCTGTCTCCTATTAGTAGGAAATAACTAGGGATGAGCTGCTCCTCAAATCAGAAAAAGATTTCCAGTAAAAAACGTATTTTTTTTTATCTTCATCTGCTGTCAGGCTGTACATGAAATGACTGCTCTAGCAAAGCAGAAAACTTCAAAGAAAAGTATCCATCGGCAAAAAGAGAGCAAGGTAGAACAGGGGAATGAATGTTAGCCAACACAAACAAAAACAACAACAAAACTCACACCAGAAAATCAGAAATCAAGCAGGGTAAAATATAAAGCATGTATGCTGAGAGGGGAAAGAAAAGACAAGGAACTAACATAAATTCAGAAATACAGTTTACGTTTTTGGGGTATTTGCATGACAGAAATGCATGCTAACACTAGACCTGATTATCTGTACAGAGGAATCATGTTAATGTTCATTTGGTACTTACGCTTACCTCATCCATTTTCATCATTTTATTAAAACTGTATTTTTTTTTAAAAAAAGCAAATTTACCAGACTCCATGGTCATCTGAAGTAATCCATCAAGAGCACTGGAAAGCAGACCTTTGCTGGATATTTTTAAGTGATTTAGTAAGACAGGCACACACTGGTACTCCAAAAATAAAGACTTTCCTTCATCTGTCTTCAAGTCTACGCAAAGGGAATCAAATGCCTGAGCCAGGTAGTCTGCTGAAAGATACCAAAGACAAGCAGAAAAAAAAATATAACCACAGTTCTACTAAACAATACTGGAATGGTTATTCTGAGAGTGGTGCTGCAGATATTGTATTAAAAACAACAAACAAACAAACCAAAAAAATCCTCTGCCTGCATTTGTTCCTTAATACATTTGTTGTGCTTTAACTCAAAAGAGTGGACAAAAATTCTGACTATAGCCCATATACTTAAACTTAAAAAGAAATGGAGCCTGTACAGTGTTTTACATATGAGAGAAAAAAATATATATACAAATTGACATCTTTTGAGACTGTGTTGATTTTGCCATCTAGAAATCCTCTAACAAAGGAGCTGGATCATCTGAATGGAGTACTCACATTCTTTTTTCAAAGAAATTGTTAGATGTTTAAGTTCCAGTGCATACATTATATATATTTGTCCATTTTCATGTACTAAGTTATACAGATAATTTAGGTTAAATGGATCTATCCAATTTTCTAATTTCCCGATTTCAAATCTTTCTTAGCAACTACAAATAACACTGATCAGTTGAAGTGCAAGAAGATAAATAAGAGGAAACAATTTTTCCAGTAGCAAAAGCAAAAATGCAGTGCCACCTGCTGGGTATTGTAATGTTGAAAAAAAACAGAAGATACATGTTTAAGCTAAACATGCTACTTTGAGTAGGTCATTTGTGCCATTTTGTCATTTTTGCCAAACAAAATTCATACACAGTATTTATTTTTTTACATATGGTTAACATAAATAATATTTTTCCTTTTATACAAGCTAGCAACCACGAGAAGCTAACCTGATTCACTCTAATCACCAGCTTTCATCACTTAGGATAGGCCTCTGAAATGACTATCTTTTCTATTACAATTGCTTTTGCATCAGTTTTAGCGAGTACTTCCAGAAATGTAAATCTCAATTTAAAATTATCATGCTTCCACAAAATATATTGAATGAAACTGTTCCCTCCAGTAGCTAAAATGCTCTATTTTTTTTTCCACTAAGGGTTTCAGGGTGTTCTTTGAGAATATTTAAATCCTCTATTTACCATAAGTATTCACAATATATATAGAACATAGGTCAATTAAGCATAAAGATACACCACCATGCTTATCCACTTAATCGAGACGGATCATTTCCAGGAATGGGAATGGTGTTCAATATCAAGGGAATTTAAATCTTCGCATCCCTGGTTAGCATCAATCAGCCTGCCAGAGATGACAGCAGCTCTGTTATACGAATCTTTGCTTCCTAAGAACTGGCCCAAAATATTTAAAAAGACTGAAGGGAAAAAAAATGACTGATTTAAGATTGATTAATAAAAACAGAGATGCCCAAGTAGGAACTGTCATTCTGGCATGACTTTGCAATGGGAACATCTCTATAACCCCTCTCCACCTCTTCATGTTACCTGCCTAGAGGATGCAGGCTCTCCTATTTTCAAAGGCAATTTAAAGTAGACAGAACAAACATACAGCTACCAGATAACTCGAGCTGGAGATCGTCTGGTCCAACCGCCTGCCCAACGAAGGGCCAGCTTTATCAGTTTGATCATGATTACTGCACAGGGAAAAATAATTGTGTTCTGATGATACCAAAATTATTTTTGAAGTATCTTCAAGAAAGGAAGAATAAGGGGCTTGTAACACAAAGATCCGGAAAGGGGTTATAGAAGTATTCTCTTTTAAGATAGCTTTGTACGCCTCATTCTTAAATAAAATCCCTGTTACACAGCAAGGTACCACATGGTACATACCAAGAGTGGCTGCAGGCAGCACCTCTTACCCCTCTTCTGAACTGCATCTACCTGGTGTTTTCCTCCTGCCTTCCATATAAAGGATAAAAACACTTTTTTCCTCATTGTTTTTCCCAAAGGGACAAAAGGCCCTCCCTGAACTTAGCAGCAAACAAATCGGTTGAAAAAAGTTATTCTATACTTTGTGCTTTTCACAGCTTTCTTGAATCCTGTCCAGACACAACCTGATTCTTATTAACTGGTAGTGTGTATTTTTAACTTTCGCCTTCTCTCTCAAACCCAAGTCACAGCGAAGACCCAGTCTCACCCACTTCTTTGCAAAATATGTAGTATTCTATATTACACAACAATTATATATCTCTTCTAGTGAGAAGGATGGGAAGATTCTGGAGGCAATATTAGAGGAAAAGGGAAAAAAAAAGCATACTGAAGAGAGGCCCTCATCCTGCAGTTTGTTTGATATCTCTACCACCCTCTCTCCCCAGAAAACATAACAAATATTCTGTTTGCCTAATGAATGGCAGAAGTGAGAACTGAAAATGTACTTGTTTCAGATACAACAACCCACTAACAGGCAGGAGAGGCTGTCTGGACCCTAGTCTGCACTATAGTATTAAAGAGCTATTTGACTTTATTAAAAAAAAAAAAGTCTTAATACATTCAAAAGCTCAACTGAATAATCACAGAGCATGATAGAGCATTCCATCCCCACAAGCAAAGCAATTATTAAAGCAGGCTCCTCAACAAAAAAGGCCTTCTATAAGCTTGTCATATGTGTGACTCTAGTTCACTTGAGGTAGTAGAAAGCTTAGATATAAAACCTATATATGAACACAATGATTTAAAGATGATCTAAAACACAAAATTACAGCAGTACTTATAGGCTTTCCTGCCTTTGTGAAAACTGTACTGGAAGCTCTACTTCCTAAATAACATAAAAGGTAATGGACCAAGATATTTAGGGTTCATAGGGGACCTATCAACTCTGCTGCTTTCATGCTGATGGATTCTTGTTGCACTGGCAAACAAGATTACTTTCCAGCGATCAATCAGTCCATTATTGAATTAAAACAGTTCTGTCAAATGAGAAACCTAATGGGAGAAGTTCAAATAAGACACTCTCTTGGACCACTCATCGAATCTGGATTCCAAATACAATTTGGAATAAGTATTAGTGCTGCAGCATTCAAAGAACGCATATTTCAATTAGAAATAGAACCTGTTTAAATGATCAACATTAATCTGTAACTTAATTTAAAAAATATTCATAAATCAAATCAATTGAAGCTTTGCTTCTCTGGGATCAGACAGAAAAGGATCTGAGTTTGTGTGCCTTCTCAGAATACTCAACGTTCATGGTTCAATAGAAATAACCCTTTTTGTCATGCTTTTGAAGAACGTGCTTTTAGTCCTTTTGGAGAATTCCTGTTTTCAAAAAATACCCTGCTGAGATGATCTGCCACAGCATTCTGAAAACTCTGTACAGTGGAGCAACTGTCATGATCTTAAGAAGAACTCGCTATTTTCAGAGCTGTATTATTGCTTTATAAGAGTAGATATAGTCTTATTTGTCTTTGTTAATACCACCATATATTGCTATACTATATCTGCCTAAGAATTTTTAAAAATTTTGGAAGAAAATACCACTTTTCTTGCTACACAGTTGGTTTTGAACTCCGAAGTATCTTTACGTTAGCAAGAACTGTGTTGCTTTTGCTACTGAGCCAACAAAGTGAAAATCAAAGGAATGGCAAATTTGGAATGTTGCATTTTTCAGTGTTGATAATGCTGGATGGGGAGCCATTCACATGGATGGACTAAAGAGAAGAGAGGAGCCCTAGCACTGTGTGAAATTTGCTACTTATAAATAAGACAGCAAGTTGCACCCCTCTCTGCAGTAAAGATCTTGGAGATACAAACACTCTTACAGTGATAATTTGACATGATTACCATCTTTTTTTTCTCTTTCTTCTGAAATGTGGATCCCTCTGACACCAAGAATTCATATCAAAGTGATCATACGCAATACAACAGGAAAATTAGTGACAGCAAGGCTTGTATTTGTTCCAGCGTATTTTGCTTCATGTGGTGTTAAAATCTGAATAAAACACTCTTTATAAAAAAAAGCAATCAGACACTACAGTGCAACTGAACTGACAAGCCCTGCACATTTACTTTTTGTCCAGACACAGGACTGAAACTGGAGTGGGGTAAAATCAGAACTTACCTTGTGTCACTGTCTTGAGAACAATTAAAGTTGACAGAAACCTCAGAGGCATGAAGGAGCTCTTAAAGAAAGCTGCTGATTTTGATTTACTTTCATTAGGCTGTTCAGGAGAACTGTGCAGCCTTCCTTTACTCGCCACGCCTTTAAAAACTTCTTCACCAAGTCTCCTCATTGTTGATGCCATTGCTGCATGCTGTTAAAAGCAGTGCATTTAGAGTAAACATTTAAACACATGAAAACTTGGTGTTCTATGTACAGGATATGCTCTACTATGTATTAAGCTAAATGCTTTGACACTGTCACAATATAATTCTGTGTAGAAGATGCTATTTTGCCTTCCCAAGCAACCCAACGGCATCAGTACAGGGCTTTATCAGCACTGCACCGCAAGACCTGTTAGCAAGGACACCTTATGGGCACCCTTTCCCTCTGGTTGTAGAACAAGCTGAGTTTCAGTCAACCCTGCCTACTACACGATGCTCCATTTTGTGGGCATGCTAAAACTTATGGTCTCTAAAAGCATTTACAGAATCAAGGCTTACATACAAGCCCAAGCAACACTGTACGGGATCCTATCAGATTTTTCAATGTAAGCTATACAGAAACATTACTTTGAGACAAAACTTATTACCATGCATATTTAAAATATAGTTTTTTATAAGCAGTGAAACAGCTTATAAGCTCTTCTACTGCATTTTAACTCAGGATACTTACAAGTTTTCCCAGCTCTTGCTGGAACTATTGATAGTGCTATGCAATATTGACTGTGTCCTTATACTGTGGTCACTCTCTTTTTTCTGTATTATACTATGAAATATTTCCTTATATTGTAGCAGTCTAGTCTAAGGGCAAAAAAGGATGTTTTGTGGTTAAGCCACTAAGCAGCGAACAAAGAAGTCTGAAATTAATTTTTCCTTTGCCATGTCTATTTCAGCAAGTTTCTTTCATAAAATGGACCTAAAAATACTAGTTCACAAGTTCTGTAAAGATATATGTAAAAATACAATTTCTGAAATGCTTAAATAGAGATCACCTATATATGTAAAAACCAATCACGTATCTGTGGTAAATAATATGAATTTATACTTTGCAAAGACAGAAAGATATGTACAATCTAAAAAACCCGTTTTCAAATATACTTAATATAAAAAATACAGGAATATCTTCTGGAAATGTATATTAAAAAAAGGTATTTTAAAAGGACTACTTGTTTTACCTGCATACCGGTGTCTAGCTGTCTTATAGACCAGTAAATAAATTTAATCACAGGCATATGTAGTTTAGAATTCACAAATGGCATCCACTGGAGTTGCTCAGCAACTACAGGCAAAAGCTGAAAAATATATAAAAGTAAAATTACAGATGGTGTATAAAATTACTGTGCAAACTAACTAAATTAACTTTGAGTTAAAAAATAAAAAAAATAATGCTGTTTTTCTTGGAGAATAGTATATTGCAAACGAAAACACTTGCTGGGCAGAACTCATCCAGGTAACAGAAAATATCTCCATTTTTGCATGCAAAACTATATAATTTATATAATATGCTAAATTATATAATAAAGCCTATTTATATGCCTAATTCTATGAGTTCAGCCTCAGTGTGTACAACACCAATGAATGTTTTTAATATAATAAAAAAAATTAAGTGTAAAAGCAGATTTTCTGAACACATCACTAATTTTCAAATGTTGCTATCTCAAGAAAGAAGATAACGGTTCAATATAGCATTAATATTATTTTTATAAGTCACTTATTGAATCTTTCAATACAAGTATAAAGAAATTTAAATTAGATATGCACATGTCCTGAGGGAAACAAAATGTAATACATAAAAATTATGAAATACAAGAAAATACAAGATACTATCATCTGATAAAAGAGACTTGAAGTAAAAGACAATCTGAGACTGAGCTCTAGGTTTACTTTTCCTAGAAATGATCCATATATATATACATACACACACACATGTATTTTTAATATGAATGAAGAATAATCTACTGTATCTCACTGCTGGAATTAGCCCTGATTTATTAACTATGCCTTTTATTTTAACTTATTATCCAAAGCATGTATAAAACAGGCAGACATACTATAATCAAAGTTCGTTTTTTTAAAAAACAAACAAACAAAACCACAGAAACCCAGGCAAACAATCCAAATCTCTTGGATCCATACTCACCTTCATACACTTCTCCTGGGTGTACGTTTTTTTGGAGTTCTGGGTAAGCAGAAGTTTATGACTGCCCTCTCTTTCTTCTTGTGTTTTTACTTTGCTAAGATCCTGGTCCGAGATCCAATCCATAAGAGCAGTTAAAAGCTCATAAACTTGTAAATTCAATGGTACCTGTAATAAACTCACATCATTACATATTTCAGCTTCCAAGTTTTGCTTTTCTAAACCCAACTATTTTCCATGGTAACAGGCTGAAACTAGTACGGAAACATTTTTCACAATTTGAGGGAGCATGATTAGATGTCCAATAAAATCTGGCAGTTGTTATTTGCAATTGCTTCTGGGTGCAAAAGAAATGTGTGCATACTTTTTATTTCCAGGCACAATACCTCCACTGCTTAACTGCATACAAACACACCATTATTACAATCTAACTGGGCAACTAAGATCTGAAAAAAAAAAAAAGGGTAAGACCTCATGAAATTGTCATGCTGTCCCTTTAATATGATTGCACTGAAATTCACTGTGAAAGATATAAAAAGATCCCTAAGCCAGGCTGCATGAACAGTGCTTTTAAAGTTTCTTCTGCCTAACTTTATAGTTCTCCTTTGCACTCAGAACTATAACTCATGATACTGTTTTTACTTCACTTGTAATCAAAGCACATTAAGATGTATATACACATGCTGTTTACATGATATCTGCATTGCTGGCTATGTAGAGATGCCATCCTCTTAAGGCAGCTGATATAGATTAATTAAGATGGCATGAATACCACTCTTTCTCATTACACCGTTTAGTTGCTGGCTGGAAAAAGTCATTATCAGTATGGAAGTGTTGGCAGAGCACTACCAGAGAACTTGCTATTAAATGGAACAGCATTAAGTGACATAATGTGATGATTCTAAAAGGAACTATGTAGGAACACTGTGTTTATTCTCTTTCCGACATTAAAGGCCATTTCTCAAAAAAAAAAAAAAAAAGCAACAGCAGTGTAATCAGCTCTGGCTTACAAAATCATCACCTTTACCTGACACCTCTAACTACTTATATTTTCCATGGCTTAGTATCTTCGGAAAGTATCTTCCACTTTGTCCAATTCTTACCTTAGCAATTTTGGACACCACTGTTCCTTTTTCTTGCTTGACAGGTTTACTTTGTTGCACCACTTGATATACATCCTTAGATTTCTGTACTGTCAAAAATTCATGCTTTCTCTACAACAAAATGATGAATTATACTTCGTTTACTCTAAAGGAAGCGGACATCTGTAAGAACAGACCTTACTTGTAGATTCTCTAAACGAGCTTGTACTTTTCTTGCTTGACCTTCCAGCTTCTTGTTCAACTCGCTGATGTCACTTAACTGAAAGAATGAGAAAAACATGTCAAATATTTGTAGATTCAAAACTTACTACTTTACTCAATTACCATCCTAAAATCATTTAATGCTGTTGCTGTGCAACTGACTTAATTAAAGCTCAAGTTTCTTCTTCCACGTATGGGCAGTTATAAGAAGAAAATTACTACCTATTTCCTCAGAAAGTAAGCTCCTTGGTGGCCTACAGTCTATCCTACCAGCTTTCATGGGAAGAATAGGGACTATAAATGCCTCTTGAAATATAAAGGCAATACACATTTATCGACATATAATTACTTTTTCTTAAAGAAGTGACATAAAGATGGAACAAAAAAATCCAGAATAGTCTATATTCAGCCTTGGAAAGGGGTTCCTTCTCTGGAGGATAAAACAATTAGACTGACCACATCACAAAAAGTGCTCGCCCTGTGAGAGAAGAATACGTGGGAACCTACTATCTCCATTTAAACGTAAGAAACATGGTCTAAATACACAAAGGCAAATGGTATGAATATTATAGAAGCTAATTAGTTCATTTATGTTGTCAGTAGCTATGCATGTATGTCAGTACCTATCTATGTTGCAGGTCTTTATAACACAAAGAACATACCACTGTTGCACAAAATGCCATAAGAGAAACACATAACTCTTAGAGAGATCAGGAAGCAATACAGAAGTTTGTTACACTCAGAAAATTACAGCTGTAATTGATTCACTGAAAGATCAGCTGTCAAATAGTTTGGATAACACTTTGTGTGTCAGCTTTTTAGGTCAGATTTAATATTCAAATGAGGGGAAAATGAAAACTCTGTGTCACTGTAAATTACTGTCTCAGCTTATCTTTAACAATCAAAATATTGCTTCAGTAAGCAGAAAGAAAATAAAAATACTGAGCAATCACAAGCATTAGAAATATGCAGTATATTTTTGATTCAGTGGAGCCAGCAAAACAATTCAGCATAAAGTAAGTTCTATTGCATTCTAGAATACTTGCTCTCTACCCAATCTCAATTTGTTCACAGTATGAAGGCTTGTTCTTCCTAAGAGTCAGTTGTTGCTAGCTGCTCAGAGGAACAACTCTATTTTTTCAATACTATGAAAGATCTGATAAACTAAATTCTAAGTACTACAAAAAGGAGCAAAAACTTCTCTCACCAGTCATGTGACTCTTGTCTTACAGAAACACAATCATCAATTTCACAAATTCAAACTGTTTCAAACATGCCAGACAGCTGACCATAACATTTCAAATTACTGATCACAGGAAGTAACTGGTCTTGCCTGTTTTTTTAAGGAGTCATTCCTTTCCTTCAAGGTATCAAATGATGATTTCAGCCGTCTGTTTTCTTTAGTTATTTCTCTCAAGGCTTCTGTCAGTTGTTTAACTTCGGCCTCATGTTGCTACAGAAATATGAGATTTTATGAACATGTGAATTAACAACACAGTATTTTAGAAACGATTCTAATATAAGTACCACTCTAATGTTGAACTTTCAAAGATCAAGTCTGCACATGACCAAAGGAGAGAAAAAAAAAAACAAGAAAACATCAGTGCATGGTCCATTGGTCTTATCCTTTCTCAGTTCCATCTAACGGCAAAGCTTTAGTTTATAGGAGTGATTTTTTTTTTCCTGTATCCATTTTAACAATACAACTGCCAAATACTCTTTCTAGAGCCTCGCTTTCTGGCAGTTATAATACCATGCTGAACGACAACAAAAAAAAATAGCTTTGAACAGATTTGAAAGGTTAATATAGGAATTGATCTCAATAAAGAAAATAAATGCTGTAAAGGGGGAGTTGGACTAGAAGATCTCTAAAGGTCCATTCCAAACTTAAGGATTCTATGAAGAGTGCTGCGTGAGCTGGCAGATGTTATTGCTAAGCCACTCTCTTCAAAGGGTCCTGGAGAATGGGGGAGGTGCCTGAGGACTGGAAGAAAGCCAATGTCAATCCAGTCTTCAAAAATAGCTAGAGGGAGGACCCAGCAACTACAGGCCAGTGAGCCTCACCTCTATCCCTGAAAAAGTGATGGAACTGCTCATCCTGGCTGTTGTCTCTAAGCATGTAGGGGACAAAAAGGTGGCCAGGAGTAGTCAGCATGGATTCACCAAAGGGAAATCATGCTTAACCAACCTGATAGCCTTCTGTTATAGAATGACTGGCTAAGTAGATGAGGGGAAAGTGGTGGACATCATTTATCTCAACTTCAGCAAGGCTTTTGACACCACCCCTCACAGCATCTTCTTCTGCAAGCTCTGGGAGTGTGGGTTAGATGAGTGGACAGTGAGGTGGATTAAGAACTGGTTGGATGGCAGAGCTCAGAGAGTCGTGATCAGTGGTGCAGTGTCTAGTTGGAGGCCTGTAGTTAGCGGGGGGTCAGTCCTTGGCTCAGTCCTTTCAATGAATTCATCAATGACCTGGATGAAGGGATTCTGCACACACTCCCTGTGTGTGCAGGGAGATAGGACTAGATGATATCTAAAGGTCCCTTCCAACCTTAATGATTCTATGATTCATTCAAATGAATGCTCAAATACTTCCCTTTTAAGGGTCAAAGTTGAGGACAGTCAAAATAATCACAGTTGATCACTTAATCTCGAGAGAAGATGGACCAAAAACATTAGAAGTACTCAAGAATGGCAGAATTTTAAGAATGAAAGGTTCTTAGAGGGGGAAAAAAAAGTAGTGAATTAAAATATTCATTTTTTTCCAAATTACATTACATACTGCTTTATAAGGCTTGAGGATTTAGGGCTTGGATAATAATTACACAGTGTTTCATAGTGTCTGAGCCACAGAAATTAGACCAAGATTACTTAAGAGTTTTTAATAGTTTAATAGCAAGCCTGCTGAGCATCTCAAGGGATCAGAATTCAGAAGGCAGTTATTACACAGACGAAAATACATCCTATTTGAGTTCACAGTTGTTCAGAAGAGGTTGTCAAAAAGGCTTTAAAAAATCTAAATTTTACAGCTTCTGAAAGTCATTTCAAAAAAGAGGTCCAAAATTGCCATCGAAAAATAACTAGTTACTTAGATAGCAGGAAAATATTTCAAGAATTCCAGGAAATTTCAAGGCTGAAAAAGTACACATATTTTTAAAACCAATACATATGGGCCTTACGACTTTCTCTCATTCCTCTGCCATACCTCATTTTTATGCTACCTCCCCCAGGTACTGTATATAGGTGTAATAAAAATTAGTCATTATATAATAAATAAAATCATACTTTTATTCCAAAGCTCTTATGAGAAAACAGAAAAATAATCTATGATATTTCATGATCCATTAATATATGTTCCAAATGCCTGAACTTCTGAATCTTTGGCTCCCTTGTTTCAGCATACAACACCACACACCACCCACACAGTTTTCCTCACTGCATTTAGCATTTTTATTAATTCAGTCCTTTCCTCACTGAGAAGCATGATCTGAAACCTGCTAGAAAAAAAAGACATCACCTTAAATGGCTTTTGAATCAAATTCTTACTCTTTCACAAAATTACAGAAAATGGTAGCTGTTTTGCAGCATCTTTTGCAGTTTTTCTAGGCAGACTCACTACCTTTTCTAGGCAGACTCACTCTGAATCACACAGAGCAAGAAACTAATGGTATGACTGGCCTGCATATCCACTGTCATTCTCCTCACCCTCCTGAATCTAATTTTATGTTTATTAAGTATCAATGCATCGCTTGAAGTATCTCAGGTTTGATTAAAAAAACCCAAATTTTATATTACAACTATATATGTTTATTATCTTTAATTTCTTCCCTGCCATGAATTCACTATTCTTCATTTATTCACCCACTCAATTCTCTACTTTTCCATCTTTAATCACAGCCTCTCTTCTCATACGTGCAAATGACAAATGAAAATGAAGAACAGTAGAAGTTTGAAGGAGCCTTGAAAACCCTTTTGTGTATTTCTGCTTTGAAGCACAATCACTTCTATGTTAAAAATACAAGAAAATTAACTAAATTTCCTACTTTACCCTCAAGTGTCTCCTCTCTTTTTTACTAAAGATCAGTATGGTTGTGGGCAGGAAAGGCCTGTCTAAAGCACCAACCCACTTTTGTCTCGGAAGACCCAAAATGACAGATACCCCTTCCACACCAATACACATGCAGCAGCCTATACTAACATATAATTCTCTATATCTAGTGAAATATCTTTATACCTAATGAAATACTTCAGTTTTTTTTTTACAAATTTAACAGCTTTACTTGAGGTTCAATAGCTACTTTAGAAAGAACCAAAACAGAATAACTAGTCCTAAAAGGTAAGTAGAGCTGATTCAATCATTAGGCCATAGACAATAGGTGATGTAAGGATATCACCATTCACTGCATAATAAAATTCTACCCCATGATTAACTAAGACATTTCACCCCATCAGATGTTTGTCTAATCTGTTCTTAAAGCACTGTTACTGAAAACACCATTTCTACCAAACTACTTTTTCCAATGCTTGATTTTGATCCATTTTTTTTCCTAACATTTAACGTGAATCTTCCTCAGTGTCGACTTAAAGGTATTGGTTCTTTTCCTATCTATCACAGACATGGACAAAAAAAAAAGAAAAAAAAAAAAAAAGTTTCTTACTCTTTGTGGTAGCTTTTACATAGCTGAAGACTAGTATCTTCCTCCTTGAATCATCGTATATGTTAATACCTGTGCAGTTGTTCATCATCCTATATCTGTGCACACGGGATTTCTATTCAGGTTTCCTACAATTTACTCACGCTTGGATTAGTGGTCTATTTGTTTTCAGGTCATACCTTTGATTTGCCAGGCCCACTTTTAATCCTAACCATCTCTGCAAGCATAGGTGATATTCCCCTGACTTTCTATTTTCTACAAATTTGGTGTGATCTTTATCACCATTTACTACTGCAAATACTAAATGGTTCTGGACCCAAGAGATTCTTCCAGAATCACTGTGCACATTCTTTGAGCTTTACTGTGAAGTATTGGCAATTATTATCTCCAGTCAGGAATTGTCTTCCAGTCAGTTTTCCAAAAACTATAATATTTCATCTATATTATATTTTCCTAACATGCTTGTGAAAATGTCAACTGCAACTGTTTAAAAAGCTTTAATGAAATCAGGAAATATGCATAACTACTAGACCTCTATGAGTAATAGATTTTACCTTGCTATAGCGGAAATCAGATCAATTCAACAACTTGTTTATGATTTAATACATATAATTTATTTACCACATCGCTTCCTTTCCTCTGCTTCCTCTCCTCCTCCTCTCCTCCCTCTCCCTCCCCAAAGCTGAGGTCCTGTTTCACTGACATCAATACACTTTTGCTTTTTAAAGCATATTCCATCCTCCCTTTACAGCTTATAGGAAGGTTTATCTGCAGACTTCAAAGAAATTTAACTTCACCGTTTATGGTTTTGACACAAACTACATGCACTTTATGGAATTCTCTTGGAAGTCTGGATAATAACCAAAGGTTTTCACAAGACTTGATTTCAGTAGAAAATCCCTGTAATAACAGTGCTTTTAAATACTATCTCATCTCACAGCAAAATCATACCATTTAATTTCTTCCCACACTGCCAACGTTAAGTTGATCTTTTCTTTCTTTAAAGTTTTTGTGAGCTTTTTTTTGCAAATACTCTTTGCAATAGCTATTATGTCCTAAAATCTCATCATCTTGAAACTTTGCCAAGTCAATCTATTTCAATAACAGCTGATGCAAAGATATTCACGTAAGCTGCACTTGTAGATTCACAATCGTAACTTTTCTCCAATATATGTAATGAAGTTGTATATAAAAAAATGGTTATCTTATTTTCAAAATTATAATAGTAAAATATGCCTATATCTGACCTAAAAGCGCCCTTCTGAAACAGAAATGGTATCAAAACTATAGCTATTATTTTGAACTTTTACATAGTCATTTTAGGATTTCTCACTTGAAATAAATGAGCATTTTATCCTTTCAACACATATGACTTAAGATCACTATATATAAGATAATGATAAGTATAGCAATAAAATATAGTATAAAATATATTCCTGTACCTCTTTTATTATTCGAAATTTTGTATGCACTTCTTCTTCAACATCTCTTATCTTAGCCAAAGCTGCTTCGTGTCTAAAAAGTAGAGCTTCTCGCTCAGC